GCTGGGGTGTGTCAAGGGGGCGGCTAGGTTTGGAGTGACGCCGGCCCGTTATTCAAAAGTTGTTGAAGGGGGCAAGCGACAACAATTGGTGGAAATTGCAAGATTAGGGGAGACAGCCATTAGAGTCCTTGGGTGTTTCTTTAGTTTATTTATTCTGACAATCGTTTATGCCACCAAAGTGATAGATGGATTAGATGGATTATGCAACAATTAGAGGAAAACTTGCTAGCACCGCGCCAAACCTAGCCCCCTGACATGCTCCACCTTTTGCAGGGAAAGCCATTGTAACGCGCGGTAAGTGACACTGAAATTTCAGCTTCGAGAGCAAGGGTTACGCTACACATTCCCGTCACCGCGCGCCGCCATGGGAAATGCCTATAAGTACTTGAACAAACACTACGGGTGTTCGGTTTCGTTCATGGGAATGACAGAAATTTGGCAGGTTCGCTCCATTCTACCGACTCCCTTACCCATGTCGGAAGGACTTCTAAAGCGGTGACGCTATCTGTCAACAAACAGGAGTTGGTAGGGACGCTATTATTACAGTCCAGTTCGCTGCGGACGAAGGGGCGTGTCAGACGGGATGAGTCTGACGCAGTGAAAGGTTTTCACCATATGATGAAGCGAGCAAACGACAAGGTGTATCATACCGTTCGTATCACTCGTTTTCTACCAAATGTTGTCGCATACCCGCTTCAACAACTGGCAGAGAACGGGTTTGGCGCCGTGGCACACTCACACTGCTTGACACGCCCCTTCATCCGCAGCGAACTAGAGCGTAATCCCATCTTTGCTCTTCTACTATTCCTCTAGAGTTTGTGCCGACGCGTTCACGCGCAGGAAGTCAGACAGGTTCTTTTTGCAGAGTCTAAGTCAGTAGATAGCTACGCTCAAGCTAGTTTCGTTAGTTGACTCGGCATCTGTCAGCACTTTCAGGTTAGGGCGCCCTTATGTCGAATGACGCATAACGTGGACAGCAGTTCCTAAGCAGTTTGCCACGCCAAGCCGGCACGTGGATCTGCGCACTCCCCGCTACCCCATTTCGAGCTGATTAGTGGGTCAGCGCGCTGAATTCCCAGTGCCCAATAGGAACGATCTCCCTTTCGATCGTTTTCTTTTTGTACTGGCAGATTGTACTTTCAGTGAAGGCCTGACCTATCAGGTCGTCGTCCCCGAAGGGCAAGTCTACCGCATGAGCGAAACAGGTCTGTTCAGTCGACTGATAGTCAATTGTGCTATGTAGAACTCAACAGTTATTAGAATTCACTAGTAAATAATAGTGTCGCCTCATTCCCACCCGGTAGACTTGGCCCGTGGCGGCGACGATCTGGTCCGTCCAAATAGTTAAACTTCAGAACAAGCCATTTGTCCCTGAGCTTAGCCCCTTGAATGAGAAGGATCTCACATATTCTTTTCACGGAGATCGTCGTGAGATTCGATAAATTGTTTAATCGACGATGTGAGCTCCTTCAGTACGGCGATGGCGGCATCATGCTGAAAAATGCTTGACTTGACTCATGAATTACTGTAATAAAGCTTGGAGCTTCCGTGTAGGGCCAACTCACATCAGGTTTCCCTAGTTCGTCAACGGCCAACTGACTGACATGATCAATATGGAAGCCATCAATACCGAGCAGCAGAAATTTCTTCATAGCATCGTGAATTGTGGATTTCACCTTAGCGCTGGACCAATTCAGCACAGGATTCGATTCCGTTGGATAGCCAAGATACCTAGAAGAGCACTTTAGGCTATTTTCTATGGATATGCTGTGGAAAAGAAAATCAGTACTTGGTAGCGTTCACGCTGAGGGAATTTGTGGAAGTTTGGTTGGTTGAAGGCGGGAGTCCCTTCCTTGGCCGTCACAAACACATCTGTTTCACCGTCACGGAACCAAGGATGCTGTGTTGATACTGATGAGACTGGCAGATCCATGACGACATACATATCTGAAAATGAGTACTGTAGGTACAGTATGGAAGAGTTGAATGAATCCTTTCACAACTAAGAATGTGCCCGACTCTTCTCTTTACGTGTCTTCCTCAATTCTCACTAAGGGGTTCTATAAGGTTCTAAAGGTATGGGTTCAAAGCTCGAAGGATAAGGCATCCAGCTGATCAACGTCTTCTGAGGCAGGATGGAGGTTGAGGCATGAAATGGCGGTGTCCGAATCTCATCTGATACCACTTCCATCTTCCCTATCCTTCCAAGCATGTTCCTACGGCAGGGTTTAGACTTCGCGTTCCGGGCGATCGATGCGCATGCTTTCGACTGCATCGATCGCGTCGAACGCGCGACCGAAGCGCTGCCGTCGCGAAGTCTGAACGCTGCCTAGGTTTTCCCAGCATCCCACCACCTTTCCCAGGTTTCCAAAAAAAGGTCTGGAATCCGCAAATCCAAAACAAAATTGCGTCGAGCAGTGGACCAGGTGAGGGGAGAGGAAGCCGTCACCAATTAACTTCTAATTCCAACTACTGGAGACAGCAGTTGTATGGTACTACCGCGCCAGCAAGAAGGGTGTGGGAGGGGCAAATACGATCCCCCTCCCAACGACTAAGTATGACTCCCTGTAGGATTTTCTCAGCGAACGCACCCGGGAGGTACATGACACAACATAGGGCAAAAGTTTTCATGAAGTTTTCACAGTACAGAATGAAAGTATATAAAAATACCTCTATTGTGAGCCGCATTGATGAGATCTTTGAAATGTTCCTCGGTTCCGAAACGCTTATCGACGGCCAGATGATCGATAACATTATAGGGGTTGAAATAGTCGTCCTGGAATGAGATCAGCGATTTGCTTTGCAACTGTGAAGAAAAGTCGCATGGTTCAGCCTTTATCCTTACTCTCTGCAACACACCCCCATCCCGGGAAAGGAGAGGGCGTGTCCGCGTTACTCATTTGAAAGTGATGGTAGCTAGCTTACGCTGAGACACTGCCGTTCTAAGACAATTTTAGTCCTTTGTTCGGAACAAGACAGGATAAACGTTGTTACAATGGAGATATCACGCGTAAAGCGTAACATGTGCTGTATTCAAGTAAACTAAGGAACCACGCCCTACCCATCTCCGGGATATCGAGCGAAAGCCCTGAATCCCTTTGGTCTACGACATTTTCCTCTTGCATACTTTGCAAGGGGATATCGGAATCTGAGTGTAAGATTGCTGTGACAAGTGCTTGTTATCTGAGGACATAATCTGAGAATCACGCCGTTTTATCCCACGTGCCAATCAGCGATCCCCTAGGGCTGCAGGGATAACGAGGTGGGTCGCATATCGTGGGTAATCAAAATGGCAGACTGCGTCCAGACGTCAGTGGGCTAATCATGAGAGTTCTGCGAGGATTTCAAGCTCAACCTAATCTGGCAAGCAGGGGCGTGTCAGGGGCTAGGGCGGCGCCAGTCAGTTCTCCACTAGCTGTTGAATCCGGCAAACCACAACAATTGGTGGAAAACGGCTTGGCGCTTCGCCAAACCCGCACCCCCTGAAATGCCCTAGCTTCTGGAAATCGACTGTAACACGCGGCAAGTGACGCTGAAATTTCAGCTGCGAGAGCAAGGGCTACCATACATCCATGAAGGCCGTGGCGATGAGTGGAACTAGTCGTTCAGTTCGATCCCCTCCGCTGTTCTGACTCTATCGTATGTACATACGATCTCATTGCACGACCTAGAAGCTTAACTCATCCACTTCTCAAATTCCAATTCCTTGAACAACTCGTGGAATTCCAAATATGAACCCTCTAATTCGGAATTCCCAACCCACCCCATGCCCATTCATCATCGCTTTGGTCAACGTGGCAGTCATTGTCTCCCAAAAGCTCCGTGAAGCGCGCAGAGAGCTATTTGGCGCGGACAAATTTAGTCGAGCCTCACGCTGTCCTCATAGGAGAATGCAGCAGAGGTGAGCAATCATTGACGGAATGCTCAAAATAAACAAAGCTGTACGGTAGGAAAGCGGAAGGTGCTGGCAGGCTCTACGCTGTTCACACATTGGTCTCAAATATCGCACGTACCTTCTCGATTTCGATCACTGGACTTGGATAGATTGTTGTGACACCGATTTTCCGTAGAAGATCGATTTTCTCGCTGACACCACGGAAATCTCCAACGCCATCGTTATCGGTGTCGTAGAAGGTTGGAGTGAGCAGCTGAAAATGATATTACTTCATCTATTTGGAAAAATTTGCCGGCAAATTGTGATAAAGACTATTCAGCAGCGATAGCCTGACAGTAAGTTACCAGATCGCTTGGCAGAATCGGATCAATATTTAAATCAATACGATTGGGTTGATATTCATAGGTCCCACTGAGATGACTGTCGAGAAATTTCTCGGGTGACTAGACAACAACCTTCGACGATAAACCACCAGCTTACTCGAAAATCAATCAAAATCGAGGCACATCTGAAGCAGGACACGTCCTGCCGCATGGGATTTCGCATAATAAGACCTCTAAAAATTCCTCCTCCCAGGCTACTTACTACCTCACTGACCTTTCTCCACATCCCGATGTTTTCCGGGAGCTTTCCATTTTCCAAAAATTCACAACTTTTCACCCAAAATTTTGTCGAAGGGCTGGAGGGGAAGGGAGGTACACCACATACGAAAGAGGAAAAACAGCGGAAAGTCTAACCTGAACCAATTTTCCTGAGGCTGCACCCACCCCCTTCCCCCGCTCTCCCTCCCACTGCATGGGGATATCCCAACGATCTGTATAGCGCAAATAAATAGTAAAAATCGACTATCAAAATCTTGCTAAGGGCAAATACGATTACTCCTCCGCCCAGCGACAAAATACGACCCGGGTTCCCCAGCCTACGATGTGCTCCGATCTGAACAGATCCTCTAGTGGACGATTGCGTTGGGAACGTGCCAGGATGATCGGTACTCAGGGGAAATTGGTTGGCACTAAACTACCAGGCCACTAAAAATGCAGTGATTTTATTCAATAGCCAATTTTTTAGCTGACCTTTGGTGACCTTTGGACGACGAGTGCCCAACAAAATCTTTTTGGGTGGCATTTTGGGTGGCATTCATTGGCGTTCGTACTCGAAATAAATCCACCCCATCTATTGATCAATCCGAAGCACACGACTGATTTTTCAGCTTAACAGCCTCATATTTCAAGGCAGAGGTTAATCCCTTGGCGCAATGCCGACTTTACGACAACCGGCGCGAGACGAGGCGGAAGTAATGACAACCCATCGGCGGTGGCTGACAGCCGGCTGGAGAGGTGATTTAGGGTACCCCATACTATACATTGCGTTTTCCCGGAACAAATAGGCCCCTGCCTTCCCAGTATAGTTCTATTCAAATGTCACGAACTCCATGAACAACAGGCCGTTCATCCGCATCGATCAACTCTACGAATCGAAGATTGATTAGTTGATTGATTGGTGGTTTGCGACGTGAACGCTTGAGTGGTGAGTTATTGCTTGGCTGTGTAACAGCGAACACTTGAACAAATTTGAAGCCAGACCAACCAGCAGTTAATCAATCAATATTTCGGAGCGGGCCCACTAACTCTACAAAGCCCGATATCGATTGAAAAATTTGTCGTGAAAAATCAATAGGAAATTTAAATAAAAGAGAGAAATTATCGTCACGGGTGTTGTGATTGAGGAGACTTCTTATAGTTACGTTAACTGTTTTGATTCATTTTCAATGTGAATTCGAGTTGTAGCCCTCAGAGGATATTGATTGATATTGATTTGAATCCCAACCAAAACGTGT